CAATTAACATTAAACGTGTTAAACTTCAACCATTTTACAGGAAATGAATACCAAGTAATTTGAAATCGTGAAGTGGAACAAATGTCTATTAACTGATTTGTTACCTATTATGAGTAAATAAATGTTTCCGAATTATGGCTAATAAATATCTAAACTTAAATGTATGAAGTTGTTAAAGGGATTCCACAGCTTTTTCTGGATTTTAAGCTTATTATTATTTTATAAATTAATGTTTTTTAAATTTTGTATTTTAAAGCAACCTATTAAATAATCAGTTGAAAAATTCAGAAAAATATGTCATAAAACTTTTTTAAAGTTCTGTAAGTAAGTCTTTAACATTAACAAGTTTAAAGCAATGTCAGCTACATTAAAAACATTGCATGTTGCTAGAATGTAGTTGTAGTAACAACGAATATATTATATATCTACAACACGAAGTTCACTTTACACTTTAAAAATATGTCAATTTAATATCCTATAAAGTAAAAAATAAATGATGAGTCGCTTACCTTTTTATCGAAAGGAATCTGTCAATTTTAGTCTTAATAATTACCCAAAAAAGTTCATGTTTTTGATTTCATAACATGCTTTTCATGATTATTGCATTGAGTTGTTTGTGTAAAGTGGCGGCAACTATGCGAAGCTACAAGCGCGCGTGTAAAGTTTGGATGGTCTCGGGGGAACGCGGAACGCGGCGGTGCGCACGACAGAGGCGAGGGCGCGCCACATACTGAGCCGATTGTACCGATTGTTCATTCAGTCCTCCACTCAGCCGTTATTCTTACGCAGATGTCCGTATGATGGAGGCAGATATGAAGCCGATAGAATACCCTAAAGTGTCAAAGGAAAGCACTTCCATTTTTCCGCATGTATGTCGTGTATTTTCACGGTATATTGTTTTCGCCGCCAATCTTAATTTTTTGGTCAATATCTCGGACTTCAACATTACTCAAAATAATATATTTATTGTTCTTTAGAACCTTAATTATTGTGGGCTCTTTTAGTGTTTTCCTGAAATATAATTGAAGCTTGTAAAGCAATTCGTTGTCTCCGATACTGATTGTCTATTTTACGTAGGTACCTAGTAATATTCAAAACTTACTATTTTAAATGTAAAATCTTTCGAGTAAGGTATTGCTACTTATATAACAGCTTTAATTTATTCAATGCGTCATTTTCAATTTGATAGTTTTGCCGCTTCTACATTAATGTAAGTTTTTTCTTGTTTCAAAAAATTTTTTTTCATAAAATGTCGTATGTCGTTCATAATCTAGTCATAATGCTGCCAAAGCAGCAGCAGTCAGTATGCAGTTAATAAAATAATAGTCTAGGCAAAATATATTGAAATTTTTTCTTTAAGTTTTGCTTTTACATTCTAGGACAGATATCTACATGAAAATGTGCATTGCAAGTATTTACTTATTACCATACAGAGCCATACCCAAAGGTTGTCTTTAAGAGATCGCAGACGATGCTATACTAACTTATTATTGTAGTTTCCAAAGCTAGTTGTAGCCTCCAAAGTGGTATGAATTTAAGTACTGTTAAGGCTTATAGTAGCTCTGTTAGTTTAACAGTGATAAAATCTGCACAAGAATATGATTGTAGGAATATGTGAGAATGAACCGAAATTGGTGCCGTCGATTGAGTGTGATCTTATAAGACTGTGGCTAACCACAAAATCGGAAAATCTCAAATCAAATGCGGATAGTTAAATTTCCAAAAACTTGTTTAGAAAGAACTGAGTCATAAATAAATTTACTTAAAACCGATCATTGTTATTGATGTATTAAGTACTGCAACTTCTTTGAAACTAGTGTCTGTTGATAATTGTCGATTATAATAAAAAAAGTCTAGTACACAATTTGAAATGTCTTGAATCACCACAAGCTTCGCGAAGCGACAAAATGTATCTCGTTTAAACTCAATCTAATTAATTATTACTCTTTAACTGCATATTAATGAATGAGGGATCGAAATCCAATTTAAGTGACCCACAACAGTCGAACTTACGAAGTCACTTAATGAAACTCGGTTAGAATAATTATTTACTTTCCGCTAATTTCCAAGTTATTAATTGAACCTTAGAAAAGGACCGTCATCTGGACTCTGGAGACGCTATCGTGAGAGCTATGTGTGTTGCGCTCCACTAAACGACTTCCATTGTGTCAAGACAAAAGCTCATTATCGAATATTTGAACAGAGCATTTGAAGGTATATTATAAATTATCTCTTCTACCTAAAGATTTCTTAAAACAATATTTTATAGAATATGACCCGTCCCCTTTATTGCCCGTGCTTATTACCAATCTTACTACTAGTAGTAACATCGGTAATTGAATAACCCTTCTTACTACTGAAGTTGAAAGTTGTTAGAACAGCAATAAAAAATTGCGCGTTACTACCGTAAAATTAAAATAACAAAAAAAAAACAAAATGTGACGAATTTGTATTTTGAACAAAATGTAACAAAATACGGCAATTTCTAGTCTTGTGGTATTGCATAATAATATTATCAAAATAAAAAGGTTTGATGTAGGTCTTCTAAGTAGATGACGTAAACTTGAGGAAAATAGATAGTGTAATTTTTGTTTATCTTACTTGAGCAATAAATAATAATAAGAATATCCTGTATACCTGCTGTTTATACCGTTATAGTAGTTTTTATAGAATATAATACATTTTGTTTAAATCACAAATTCGTCATATTTTGTTTTGTTTTTGTTATTTCAATTTAATGGTAATAACAAGGGCAAAATGTTATTGTTGTTCTAACAATTTTCAACTTCAGTAGTAAGAAAGGTAATTAAATTACCGGTGTTACTACTAGTATTAAAATTGGAAGTAACATGGGCAATAAAGGGACTCGTCATATCCGCATATGACGGGCCTGTTGGTCTAGTAGTCAGAGATTCTACCCGCCCAGAGATCGTGAGTACGATTCCAACTCAGGAGAAAGAAAAAATGCATGATGCAATAGTTGTACCCTGCCATGCTTTGCTATAGTAGCACATGAGTAGATAAACGGAACAAAGACAGAACGTGCAAAATTTTTACCTAATTTGTTAGGGTTGACACAATAGGTGAAGACAAATGAAACAAAACATTTGTTAAATAGTTTTATTATTCAGTATGATAGAGTAATTTAAAAATTACTTATATTATTTTTGTTTTTTAATAATTTATTGTTTCTTTTAATAGTGTGGTAAATTCTGAATGTAATAAAGTTTTGTCAAGTAATCTAACGGAAACACTCACATGATATATCAAATTTACAATCTTTGATACGTTTAAGTTTTTGCTTGCTAATACTTGACAATATTTATTTCAACAAATGCGATAAAATTAACAGGAGGTATAATTAAAAGACCCAATTGTACATGACCATAATTAAAATCCTTGTACTTATTTGAAAAAGTAATAATCAAATATTTACTTACCATTGTACTCCTTGGGATAGTTAATTTTTTTTTCTAGTATTAATCATACACACAGTACAATAAACAACTATTATTCATAAAACATACTACGTTTTTACATTCAAATATTCAAACTTGCAACTAACAAAACAAACAACGTGCATCGCACCGACCCTGAGATTGTCCACTGGCTGTGCCAGCGTAAACCGGTTTTTCCAGTATCGCGAATAGCGACCAGTGGTCACGCACACATGCACCGCGTACTTGTAGTAGTGCAACCGAGTCGTGCAGTTGTATTGTACAATAGTGAGATATGAGAAACAAAAGTGACGCGAATAGTTGATAAACCAATTTTTGAAGCGGGTTTTCGGATTCAATTCAATCGGTGCAGATTTTTTTTGAGTTTTTGAAGCGTACACAAACTAACAACACTTTACATATATAGTGTAGTGACGTCGCAACGAATACTGGAAATTCCAATGATCTTCGATTCAGAATGATGGTCCGGATAAACTATTTCAGTATTCGTTACGACGCGGCGACGTCCCTTACACCCTGTAAATATTTCTATGTATATACTGATTTAAAAGTAAATTAGTATGTTCATCAGCCGTCTGGTTAAAATAGTACTGGCTCTGCCTAGCTTAGGATCAGACGGTCTTATGTGAGACGAGTTGCATTTATTTTATTTACAAATCTTCACCAATTTCAGAATGGTCGAGTATCTTATTTTCATACAAAACTTTAAATCAAATAACTCAAATATTAAAATCACAATATTTATTATCACTTTACATTAAATATTTCAAAACAATGAAAAAATGTAACAGTCATAATATTAGATACTTTTGGGGGAAGGTCCTCAAACCACAAAGCAACGAAGAAATAGTATCAGCATGATACTTCATGTATTTTCACTTTTTACATAGGTACTCCAAAGTTCGATTAATTTTCTGAATTATGTGATTGTTAAAAAACTTAGGTAATGGACAGTCAGTAAATAAGATAGATAGACTCTCAACTCATTCGATTTAAACAACAAAAATAATTAATAGTGGTTTGTTATGTATGGTCAATCACAAATTATGTGATTCGTAACTAAATAGTTATGACAGTTTTCTGTGACTAGAAAGTTACAGAAAACCATTGCTCTGATTAACTTTGACGAGTCTCTTCTCATATCTAATCAAACAGTTTTTTGTCATAACTAGTTCATAAGGACTAGGCCATAAGCCCAAAATTGATCTAAGTGGTGTGCAATGGGAGAGGCCTATGTCCAGCAGTGGACTGCGATAGGGTGATGATGAAAGACTAAACCAAGAATTTATGATAAAATGTAAGCTGAGCACATATCAAATTAAATTGAATTTTAATGAATAAATTCGTATTTATGAAATTGTTTCAATGTCTTGTATTCTAGTTATGTCAGATAGCAATACTTCTAACAAGTGTTTCGTAAAAGGCTAAACACGCCTCTAATTATCATCTCAGGCTAATAATTTGTTCATTAATTGACAATTAGCCTAGGATTTAATGTAATGTTTGTAACTGCGATATAAAAGACATCAGGAAGAATTTAAGTTATTTTTTTTTCTTTGGTTCAGGTTTCGGCAAATTGTATCCTTCATGAAAACTTTTCAAGTAGCTCCACGGAGTCCCCAGACGGAACCGACGCATTTCTTGCGCGAATTCTACTGGCTCAAACACCAGTTTTTTTAATTCATCATCGTAACGTACTTCAGTATAACCAACCAAAGGAAAATCTTTTCTAAATGGATGCCCATTAAAACCATAATCAGTTAAAATTCTTCTTAAATCAGGATGATGAGTAAATACTACTCCGAACATGTCAAAAATTTCTCTTTCATACCAATTGCAAGCATACCAATTCGCAAATTGTGATCGTAGAGGTGTAAGTTCATCTGTGTAGGTCTTAATTCGAACTCTTTCACTGTATCGAATACTCAGAAGCATGTATACCACTTCAAATCTGTATACCCTGCTAGGCACATCTATTGCAGTGGCCCCAGTACATTGATTGAAGCAGCAATTATGGTGATTGCGCATAAAACAACATACTGGATAAATACCTTCAGGAGCTACTAGAATTTCCAGTTCATCAGTGTGTTGCAGTTGAATTTTTTGAACGTATTTGGGCAGACATGCAGCCACGTACAATCCAAATTCATATAAGTTCTGACGTTCTTCATTGTTATGCTTCCTAAACGTGTGACCTGTGCTTGAAATTGGTTTTAATATATATTTACTTTCTTCCTGACCGCTGGCATCGTAAAAAGTAGTTCCTGTAAGAAAATTACGTCTAAAATTTGTTATTTTACCAGTTCTTAGAACTTTTGACAGGAATCGATTCATTATTTTAAATATAAATTTTTATATTAAGGCAATAGAAAATTACATCAATATGACATGTGATTTGACAAGATTTGTCAAACTGTTGAGGTGCGTGTAAGGACAATATGATTTAAAAAAATATTTGAACATTCTAAGCAGCATATTTTATGTATGAAAGGAGGTTAAAATTAAAATTTGAGAAATCAATTCATAAGCATAATAATGTTTATGTGACCTGAATTAAGTGGGTGCATCAACAATGTAACTAATGATCACAAAATTCAAATTTGCTTTGGCTTTTTCATTAGAATTCTTTGTTTCTCAAGTACAGCAAAACTTCTACCCGACGATAACTCACGTAAGTGTCTAATTAAAAATTTGTGATTGTAGAAAAATATTTATAATCGACATACACAAATCAATATTTTTTATATATCTATACATATTTATGATGTTTATATATTATATTGTATGATAGAGTGGGTAAACGGGCTGACGGGTCACTTGATGAAAAGTGACTACCCGCCGTCCATGAACGCCTGCACCTCGGGAGTCACAAGTGCGCATGTGCGAGGAGTCACGAGCATAATATGGGCACAAACCTCTAACATAGATGGCCTTTTGTAAATTGTCCACTGCAAATAGTATGTCATCAGCAGACGGAAGGAAGTTATGTTTCTGTATTGGAATTTCAAAAGAGAAGAAAAATAAAAGAAGTAGAAGAAGAAAATAAAATTTAAAGAAAAAAAACTTTATTTCTGTCTAACTTATTACTACTTTTTTTTCTTTTACTTTAAATATCATTGTCTAATGCACCTAGTTACATATTTCAGCATCACCTTAAGATAGACTGGGAGAGAATGCCTGTGGCATTAAGTCCGCAATTGTACAACTCATACTTGTGCATATAGAATTTTAAAAAAATTAGTAAATCAAGAAAAAGAAGAATATATCAGAAAAAAGTAACATCTGTGTCTCTGAAAAGAAGCCATTGAAGCTCCGCGGCGTAGAACGAATAGAACTCAAAGGTACAAGAAAAAATTGCTATAAGATGAACCAATTTTGCACTTTGAAATCGGTATACTCGTAGGTTAAATAAAAATTTAAAGGTTCATGACTTAATTTTACTTTCATTACTTCTTATTCGCAAGCCGGATAGGGTGGTGGCTGCCGCAGTCCCTTTTTATGCCACCACAGTTCCCCATTCTTTGGCGGCTCGTGACTAATACCACAGTCGAGGTCTCGTGCGTTCGGAATCTGCCCTATCCCGATCTCATTTTAGCGGTCTCTTTCCGGAGCATTGCATATTCACAGAAAGAGACCACTGTTCCCCAGTCGTCCTCACCCACGAGCATTGCAATAAAGATTGCTGGCGGGTAAGAACTCATCCGACACAATCAACCAGGATTGACGACGAATCGACTGACGGGAGGCAACAAACTCTTCAAAGGCATTTTGTACTGCCTCTCGGGAATTGAATTTTTTAATGGGGTCATTTCATCATCATCATCATCAACAGTCTATAATAGTCCACTGCTGGACATAAGCCTCTCCTTTCCTTAGAAAGGAGGTTAACCCTATTTAAAGTAAATAAATAATTTGAATTTGAATAAAATAAAAATACAATGGCGATTAAATTGATTCGATCGTGGTAATCCTAAATACTTTAGCACAAATAGTTTTCATTGATAAAACTCATGTATAATTTAATTTATTCGACTATTCTCATCCATATAGTATTAATGTTGTTCAACTTGTAGATCATTTGTAAGTAATTACATATTTTATCTATTTTCTTATATCTTTTCGCTATATAATGACACTCAGTATCTATTGAAAACATAAAACAAACATAAAAAACGTATCCACTGGGCGTTCTCTACCAGCCAACCTTTTCTGTGGTATAGAAATCTGGTAAGGTTTCTTATCCGCTCATCTTAAGTGCACCTAGCACTGAAGATGAGCGGATAAGAAACAATCTGCGTTTCATCATCAAAGGGATCAACGTGGGTAAGCATAGGGAGTTGAGGAATAAAAATAGAGAGGCGCTCGCTGATTACGGCGAAGGCGAATAGGCAACCATTGCAATTGAGGACGTAAAGTAGACACGTGGACATACTTTCGAAGATTGAATATATATCGAATTCAGTCTCTGCATTTAGGTCGAAGTAATACACATCACCATAGTCAAGTATATGAATAATTAGGGACTGCATGGTAGAGATTTTCGTTTTAGGATGCAGGAAATTCTTAAGACGGTAAGACACTGTTAAAATAATATACCTACTATTGTTAAATGTCAGGCTCAAAACAAACACATTCATATTGAGAATTAAAAAGTTCTTTAAAGTTTTGAATGCGGTGGATCGCACGTTAATTATGATAAAAGCTTTAACATTAAAGTATATTAAATTATAAAGATATAAATCCGTATACGCGATGTACGTTACAAGAACAAGGCTTTACTCTTTGTTCCGTTGAAGTTTTGAAGTAGAAGTTCCGACATGTGTCCCGCAAGACTCCGGATCCACGTCGCTACATGTATGGCTACAAATAAGTTTGATATTTTCAATTGTATTAATGTCTACACAGTTTTTATTTAAACATAAGCTATGTAGCTTTGCGTATGTATATAATGTATAGCATAAATTTGTGTTTTATGTATGTTTATTATTTAATTGTTTTAGTATTCACCTATTTCTCTTACAGAATGAAAGGTGCTGTTTAGTATGGTCAATGTAATATCAGATACTCTTTGAGGAAGAGATTCCATTAATATATTGATACTTTTGAATTTTGATACTTTCTTATGTGACTTATACTTATTTCTATGTCAAATGACAATTAGTTGATTTCGTAAAAATCAAATATAGTAAATAGGATAAAAAAGTCTAAAATTGAAAAGTTATTATAACACTGCGTCTCATTTGCTTTTCTAAGAACATATTACGTTTTGCTTTTTTTTTAATGTGATAAGGATAAACGAGCGCAACTCAACGCAGATATTTAGGCCTCTTTTTGGACACAAAATTAACATGGAAACACCATGTTGCATATATTAAATCCAAAATATCTCCTGTTATTGGTGCACTACGTCGAATGTCCTTTTGCGTCCCTAGTAAGGCTCGAGTAATGATCTATAACGCTCTAGTTAGACCTCATATAGAATACCTGATTGAGATATGGGGCACTGCTTCGAAATCGAATATCCAAGAAATTCAAATCTTGCAAAATAAAGCAATAAAAACACTTTATAACTACGACTACCTAACACCAACACTTAACATCTACAAGGATACCAAAATCCTAACAATTAGACAACTATACATTCTTAAAACTTGTATACTAATACATAAAATCATAACACAAGGTACACATTCACAATTAAGCTTCAAAGAAAAAACCTATACATACAACGCTAGGAAACGAAAAAAACTAGAAGTGACAAAGCCTAGAACCAACTATGGTAAGAAAAATATATTATATGAAGGTATAAAACTTTATAATGAAATACCTGATGATATTACTAAAAGTGATAACTTGTATAAATTTAAAAAAAAATTAGGAGATTACATTAGGATAAAGTACTGACTCTAATGAAGTTGTCTGTATATCTTTAGTTTTGTATTACTGTAATATGTGTTTTATACTACTGTGTATTGAGATCACAGAGATACTTAACTAATTTATTGTGTTGTTACATTTTCTCATTATGTAAGTGAACTGTATTGTTCTTTTTATGAGAAATAAATGTCTCTAAACCGAACTCATGAGATACAAGTGCGTTGTCGTACTTTGCATGGCATCCTGCACAATTTCAACTGCACGGATAGCGTTGTGGTATAAGCGGTCGCCACGCCGCTTACTACTACGCTGAGTGTTGTGGGTTGGATCTCCACATGGGACGACACTTTGTATGATCCACAAAAATGGAACGTAAAAATTGCTTAACACTGGTGTTCTTTAATATAAATGCGCCGAAGCACGGCTCTCCCACAGTATGGTATTATATACAAAATTATCTGAGACATACGGATTCTGTTTTTTTTTTCCAACGTAAGTTGCAAACATTCTTGTCTTCGTAAAACGAACTATGAATATGAAATTTCACTGCGGCGGATATACGCATGTAAGAACAATTAAAGCTAACAAGTTTGGGTACGGATGACATCAAATGAAAATGTGCCCATATATCTTTTACAGTCTCATATATAAAACAGAAAGCTCAGGCTGCACTTGATTCAGTGTTTCCCGCCGTCCAACTCCAGATTGTGCGCCGCAACACCACAACTTCCGGCTTCCGGTGGCGGTTCTGCGCATGCGCTATGCGTAATGCCGCCCGGAAGTGACGTCACGCATGTCACTGCCGCATAGTAGTGCTACGCCGCATTTTAAATAATAATTGACAAATGTATATAAAGATTGTTTGGAACTGTTTTATATTAAACTATTTGTTTAAAAGAACCTTAAAATAATAATATTATCTATCTGTCTGTATAATTATAGTGTTTCTTTACAATTTTTACATGAAAATGAACGTAGTTTCATAAAAACTACTAAAAAATGAAATATAAAAAGTTCAAAGATCAATTGAACTTCTTGTATAATTATTATTTTTTGAAAAATTTTCACGAATTCATAATTCGGATTAGGAATTCATATTACAAAAGATAAGTCCTAGTTTCCAAAAGAATTAAAAAACTCTAAAACATCAGTAAACATTATAAGTTAACAAATTGGGAGAAGCTTACGTCTAATTGACTGAGACAGGCTAAATTATTCATTTGATTTATTATTTATGACAACGGATTTGGGTTTCCACACGTTAAAAAAAAGTCACTTACCTGCAGCTGTAAAGCTATATAGCTTGTTTTTTTAGTATATAACAAAAAAAAAACTGGTTAAAAGTATTCAAAGTTCAAGCATAAATATATCAGAGATAGTTAAGATACTTTTCACTTCCAACACGGTCTACTGCATTTAAATATTTAAAAATGAACGTTACGTAGCTCGGCATTTCG